TCCCTTCCTAAATTCAGCCTCAGGAAGCTTTCAGAAGCTCTTCTGCCCAGGCACTCTTGGAGAAAAAAAAAAAAAGATACCATTTCTGTTAAGTTTGAATTTTATTCCAGAGGATTGCTGAGGTGCTTTTTTGGCCAGTAGCAATCTGTGGGTATTTGGCAGAGTTCAAAACTGGCATTATTTTGCAGCCAGGTCCATCAGCTTTGATTAGAGCTGACTGAGCCACCTCGGTGCCCGATTGCAGCACGCTCTGCTGAGCCCAGCCAGGTGGGAAGCAAGCACACTGCTGGGCTCCTGACCTTACTGCTCTTTCAGGCTTAATTGTCAAGCAAGGCCTCTCTCATTTTCTGCTAAGAATCTGTAAAAACATTGCACAATCTCCTCTTCCTCCCCGTGCCAGGGCAGGAGCAGGGATGGAGGCAGCTTTTGTGTAATGCCCCTCATACCAACCAAGGGACTGGGTCGGGTGGAGCTGTGTAAAATCCAGAGGGAGCGGGAGAGGACAGAAGAATAAAATCACTGTTATTTTGATCTTCATAACTGGGGATCACATCCCACCTAAAGCTCTAGATATGCAAAATAAAAACTTCTGGGGTTTTTTATTATTGATTGTCACAGCTGTTACACAGTACATGTGTCCAACTGAGATGTTTTTTCCAGTTTGGGATTATGCATAACACAATATAGTGTGCACAGTACTGATTCTGTACAATTATTATGTACTCAGTGTTCTCAGAGTTTGTAACCACAGTGTTCCTTGCAGTGGGGTATTTTATGTATTTATATAGAAAATTCATTCTGGTGTTCAGTGGATTTTATCAGAGAGTAAATGTTGCTTTTGTGGTTGAATTTTCCTAAGGCTTACAGAAAAAGGAAATGATCCAGGTTATTTTTCCTCCTGCAAGGTTTGTTTTCCTTCTTTTAAAGGACTAAAGATTAGTATTAGCCTTTTGTAAGAAGCAGTAGTTTAGTTGTTGTTCAGAGGAGTTGTTTTAACCATTTACAAAGCAGCTATTGTCAGGACCTGGATAAAGATCTCTAACCATGAGGAGCTAAAGGCCTCTCATGGTAACTGACATAATTCAAGAGAGAAAAGAGATGTGGTTGTATTCTGTGACAGGCTGAAGTAATTCATGAGTGGTAGAAGGAGGTCTTGATGAACAGGATAAATCTCATTTCACGTGCATACTTAAAAACACATAACAAGAGACCTCATCCCTGAAATCAGGCTTGTGTTGTTTCAGGAGTGGATGTCAGTATGAACACACATCTCAAAGCAGTGAAAATGACACTGAAGAACAGAGAGCCCGTGCAGCTGGAGACACTGAGTATTCGAGGGAACAACATCCGCTACTTCATTCTGCCAGACAGTTTGCCTCTGGATACTTTGCTAGTGGATGTTGAACCAAAAGTCAAGTCCAAAAAAAGAGAAGCAGGTGAGTTTGTGCTTTCCTAGTCTGTGTTCGTTCTGCTTTGTGTGCATCTTAGTACTGTGAGTCTGAAGATGTCTAATTTGAGTGTCTGAACATCTGCATTTGGCATTAAATTCCTTCATCGAGGGTTTGACACAGCACTGGCTCAGTCTGCCTTGCCCACCTCCTTGGCATCTGCAGAGCTTCATTCATGTGAAGTTGTGTTATGGCTTTTTGTGCATCTATTTTTAAAAATGTAAATGTTTATCAGCTTGAGTAAGTCTTAACCTATCTGAGTCTTACAGTTGGCACCCAAAGAAATTTACACTTCCTCTTCTCCAGGTGTCTGTTTCCCCAGTTTGTTTGAGGAGCTTCACACAGATAAGTACAGGATAGCATCTCAAATGGTGCTGAATGGTTCATTGAAATTTGGTGGGGGATGAAAATGGTATCTCTGAATTTTGAGAAACTTAGGAACTTGAGGGAATAGAGGCTGTATTCCAGTGAGTGCATCTCCAGCTTTGGCTCCCAGTGGTGTTCCAGTCTCTGCTCTTTTACTCTTCCTGAAACTTTCTTTTCAAAGTGCTGCTGAATAAAAATCCTTTTCCCTAGAAGCCTAACAGCATAGACAGTAACTCAAGTTTAATCCACACTACTAAAGATGAGTCTCCAGTAAACCCCAGGAAATCAGCAGCAGTATATATTTTGCCCACCAGTTAGTCTGTGTGTTTTTAAAACAGTGAGCTGTAAGTGAAAGCTAACTGTGCTGTAAAATCATGTTGTACCATTTCTCCTGTAATTAGTGTTGAAGTATCTGAGTGTGCAGGGTGTTCTGCATTGGTGAAGAACCTTGGCTGTGCAGCACCGAGTGCGAGCGCTGCGGCTGCTGCCTTGATAGGGAATAAGGACAAAGCTCCCAAATGGGCTTTGCTCCTCTCAAGTTCATTAAAAACAATCTGACCACACGGAGAAGTGAGTGTGGTTGGATTGCTTTTTTTCCTGAATCTCATGATGTGTGAGCAAGAACAGCCCTGCTTGGTGTCAGCTTTGGGGAAAGCAGCCATGATAGCTCCAGTTACCTTGGTTTGATGCTCCCTGCATCCACAGTGTGTGGAAGCCCGCTCAGACCTAAGCTATGCTGTGCTTTGCCTTAATCCATAAATTCCCTTGGTTTCAGAAGTGTAAAACCCTTGCTCTGTCCTTGGCAAGTGGTCAGGAAAGGGCAGGATGCTGGCTGGGGTGTGTGTGCCCTGTGTGCCTTGGGTCCAAGCGTGCTGGCACTTGGTGAGCACAGCTGCTAGTGCTGTCATCCTCCAGCTGGGGTTCATGCTTCCATGGATTTTACAGGGCTGGTGTACCACCAGCAATATATGACACCTTGCTTATGTCAAATTTGTCTCTGCTCCTTCTGTCTTCTGCATTTCTAACCTCTGTCCCAGACTAATTGTCACAGCCTGCTCCTTGAATGTGGGTGCCAGTGGGTATGTCCTAGAGAGCCACCCACTTCTGCAGAATTTTCAGTATCCTTATGAGCCCTGCATTCACAAACATGTTTGAAATGAACCAATAATCTGAAGTTTTTAGAGTGTCCTTGCAACCTGTTGAGTCACATTTCTTTGAGAGAGAGAAAGATGTGAAGGCACATTATCATCTTATGGATCATAAGGCATTCAGCAGTTGCTTGTGGCCTGTACTGTCCTATGATTCTGTCTTCTGTTTACAATTAAATACCAGTAATTAAAACTGGGAGCACACAGTCAAGACCTTTGCTTTAGAATCACATCTTCAATTGGCAGAGGCATCACTGAGACCAGTAGGAGCTGTTGGATGCTGGGATCCTTTCAAAATGCTGACCTTCTATATGATGGGTTTGGGAATTTCACAGCATGTCAAAATATGCATTTCTCTCTGAAAAACTAGACTGTGTATATGTATGTATGGGGTTCCTGAAAGATTACCCAATCATTTGGGAGCAGCCAACAGTTTTATGCACTTGTTTTCTGCAGTGAAGCCAAGGACAGTAGTCTTGGAAGTTGTATACTGGAAGAACTAACAAAAAAGACATAAATATTGCCTGAAACTTAAGGAGCATTAACAGACTTAATGCCTAAATTAATGTCTTATCACAGGAAAGGAGTGTGGTTAGACTCAATACAGAGTGTTTTAACCAAAATGAAAGTATTCCTGGGTCTCACTTGATTTACCCTTTTCCTTTTATCTGCCAAGTTGCTGGAAGAGGCCGTGGCAGAGGCCGTGGCAGAGGCCGAGGTCGTGGAAGAGGAAGAGGAGGCCCAAGACGATAACTTCTCATCATGCAACTCTTACCAAATTCTGGGCAATGCAGGCTATTTTTTGTACAGGTCTTGTTTATGGTATCCATTTTTAATAAACTGAAATGTGAAAAGGTGTCTTTCCTTTGTTAGCAAAGCCTGGGGAGGGAGGCAGTGTGCTGTTTCTGGGGCTGTTGGACTACATGGATCTTCGTTGTCATTGTCAAGATTTTGGCCACCCCTGGAGGCTGTACAATTCCTCTTGCTTTTTGCCCCAGAACAAGAGACTTGTGTTGTGCTTTAACAATGTTTGCAATTAATCCCTCTTTTCTAAGGCACTTGCCATCTTCTAATGGTTACATAGTTAAGACAATGTGTTAAGCACCCCTGTCCCGTGAGTGTGTCTCTAATACTGTTTTTTTCTAAAATTCATAGATATAATTTTAATGTTTTCTATTACATGAAGCTTGCAATTTAAACATGTTGCTTTCTTTATAAAACATTTACACAGGGAAATTAACCAGGTCCATAGAACTGCTGGATTGTTACATCTGATGATTAAAGAATACCTGGATATAAACTTTGTCAAAGCTAATTATATGGCATACTTTTGTTTGGGTGGGGCTCGTAAAGCAGCTTTATCACAGATACCTTCTTTAGTGTACTTCAAGTACGTCCCTAGAAAATACAAAGTACAGCACAGTGCACAGATGTATACTGGAATTGGAAGCTTTCTTCTGGACGTGGGAGAACTTGTGCAGCTCACACACATGTGTGCATATATATAGATATATTCATATATAAATATATATATTCACTGCTTTGCTGGACACAAATACAAAAGAAGCTGTGTTGGCCGCATTTATCTCCCAATGCCATCCTGCTGATTTACTCCCATGTAGGAAAGCAATTGCCACATTCTCATTGCCAGACTTCAGCAGTTTCACCTGTTGATGAAATGCAGATGTCACTTCAAACAATGAGTATGCTGAAGTGTCTTGAAGGGTTTGGGGGTATTTGCTGGTATGTTGGTGCAGGAACATGCTTGGTTGTTCATGTTTCCACAGAGGCAGTGCTACAGCAGTGGAAAAGAATCACCTAATCTTGTGTAATGGGCTGATGTGCTGGTTAATTTGTGCTAGGCTGGCATTTTGTGAGCTGCTCTTCTCCTTCTCACCTCTTTCACAGAGGCCACTTTAAGGCTTCATCTTGTTACAGAAGAGCTTTTTTTCCCCCAAACCATTGTGGAACCTCCCAAGAGCACTTTTTGGTCAATATAGCACCCACCATTCTCAACTCTATAAATAGCTGCTACAAATAATGGTTGCTGCTGTCTTCCAGAAGTGCCCAGTCACTGGTGACAAGGGTAAGGTCTTCCCAAGTCCAGCTGTCAGCTTTCATGCAACAGTTGAAACTCGTTCCCTCTTCAGTCTCTTCCTTATAAAAGTCACTAGTGCTCCCAGGGGTATGCACATGGTGGATGCTGCCACCAGCAGCCCGATCACAGCCAGGGCATAGCCTGGGTAATCCTTGGTCACCAGCTGCCCCTGTAAGGGAGAAAAGCAGTGTTGGATCTGTGGGATCTGTCCCAGACTTGGGCCAGGAGCAAAGTGGTGTGCATGGAACTAAACAGCACCTCTGAGAAGCATTTTCAGTCTGTGGCAGCCCACGGCTGCCCTCAGTGTTCTCTGTCAAATCAAACACACTGAAAACTGACAAGAACAGAGCTGCTGACAACAGGATACGGGAAACCAGCAAGCTTTGGTAAAGAGCAGGTTTTGGCTTGATTTGTGTTTCTTAATGAGGTGACTGGGCCCTGACCTCTGTCAGGTCTCTGTTCCCCTCCTGCAGCCTGTGGGCTCATGCTGACACCCAGTCAACAGGCCAGGCCCACCATGAGTCCCAGATTGGCCATGACATGAAAACAATTATGTGCTTTGTTCCTGCATGATGGAAACATTTCCACAAAAGGTTATGAAACCAGTGACTACTTATCCAGTAATAATTGCTCTGTGATAAATGCACAGTCCAGTATTAAGCAAGTGCTCTGGCCATGAAGAAAAATGTATATGAAGATTATGAAAACTATTTTTCCCAGCAGCAGCTCAATTCCTAATTGAACACTATCCTGAATCCTGAACACTAATTTTGTTCAAAGTAAATACAGTTTGAAAGTAGGGGGTTTGGGTCTTCAACATGAATGAAATTTAATTCTATGGAGGATTGATTAAGAATCATAGAGGGAAATTAGTTGATTTTATGGAATCATTGCATCGTCACTAAGTCAAGTGTTTCCTGGTTTTCCATTCCACAAAATCAAGGGATGGCCCTGACTCCAGCTGCCCTCTTTCAGAACATCATTTTCTGGAACAGTGTAGTTAGGAAGAAAGTTTGTATCCTTGCAGGAACTAAGGAGAGTTGAAAACAGAAAAAAAAGCCCAAACCCAAAACTCTTATTTACCTGTGTGGCATCCCATGCTTGGTATTGCAACGTTCCTGTGAGGATATAGTCGGTGAGGTAAAAAATAAATAGGCTTATAATGAGCAGTGGACTAACAAAAGCCCACATAATTTTCCAATACCAGTTTGGCTTGCGTCCAATCATGGTGTAAAGATCTTTCTCAAATCTGTTCAAAAGAAAACATTTTTGTGAAGAAAACCAAATGCATATTTTTGAGACTGGCTACTCAATCAATACTTCTTCTGAGTTACTTCAAAAACCACCTACAGAATCGAGTATGTCAGATGAGAGAGTACAGTTGACGACAAATGAGCAGAGAATTGCTATCTGAAAAGCTGGCTCACCAGAATCACAGTGAGGGGGAAATCAAAAAAGACAGTGAGGTTTCCAAAAGAATCCCAGGTTACAGAGAGTAGCTAGAAATAGGTGCAGCAAGGAAGTTCTGCCTGAAGCACAAGCTAGGGCTGTTACTGGTGTCAGCTGACAGAAGCAATAATGCTGAAGAAATGTGGAGAAAACAACTGGGTTTGCATAGCTGAGCGTTGTCAGTGCTGTTACCTGACTGTCTTTGAGGAAGTACTGACACTGGGAATGGTACCTAAAAATCTCACAGGAGACCTCGATCTGACTTGAAGGCTTTGAACTCATTAGGGAGGAAATACCCATGTATGTGCCTGGACACCTTCTGTGCTGGCAGACTAACAAAGCAAATGCCAAAACCTTTCCTTTCAGCTGTTTTCAAACGCCTTTGCTGTTCAAAACTCCTCCTGATTCCAGAGCTCCCTTTTACCCACGAGGATTGACTTGGGAGACAAACAATGTGTGAGGTGACCACCTTTGAAACCAGACTTACTGGCACTCCTGTGCTCGTGCTGGATTCCTCTCATGGCAGGAGCAGAGTTTTGGCAGAAGTTGCTCCTGATACCAAAGACAAGAGCAGAGAGCTGTGTGTCCAGCTCTTTAGTACTCCCCTGCCAGCAGAGACGTTGTCAGCCCAGCCTGGCCCCTCACAGCCCTGAGCCAAGGCCCTGTAAGGGGTCTGCAGGGCAGGGGAGACCCCCACCCCCTTGCTGATCCTATAGCACAGGAGAAACATTTATCCCAAGGCAGTATTTTTATTCTTGGCCCGTGGTGGCTCCCCTAGCTGTCCCACTGGGAAGAAAGCAGGGCTCCAGCTTTTACCTCCTTATCCCGTAGATGTAACACACAGCGATGGTTTCCACCAGCACGATGAGCAGCAGGGAGAGGGTGGCTGCGTAGTCATTGAAGATGTCAAACCAGTAATTTCCAGCCTCCATGGTGAAGATCAGGCCAATTATACAATTCATGAAACACACAACACCTGTGTGGATAGAACAGGGATCCTGCCATTACACCTGGAAGTTTGCGTAGGGAAAACGTCATGCTTGTGACTAAGAAGCTGCTGGGATTTCTCCTGAGCAGCTTTCTCTGAGTAGGATTTCTTTTCCCCTGTGGAAAAGACTCCCCTTTGCACATGTGACTCTTGTTTAACTGCTGCTCCTTAGACCTGCAAAGTCACAGGACATCACTCCCAGACATGGCCAAGAAAACCAAATCTTAGCTACAGCCTTGTCACACATGCATGCAGCATCTGCTGTTGGCACTGGGCATCCAGCCAAAATGGGTTTTAAGGCAGGACAACCGATTTCCATGACCAGACAGAAGCACGTATTTCTTTTGAACACTGAGGTGGTTCACAGTTTTCAGAGTTGGGATACTGGCGGTGTGACTGAACAGCTAATTGCTATTCAGCTACACAAGTGCAACTATTGCCATTTGTGTCCTTTTGAGCTTCACCAGTCAGCACACACGAGTCTGAAGGAGCTGGGATGTGTCGGGAAGCCTGGAAATACACAGCCACGGCTGGCCTGGTGCTTTGGGAGCTCCCAAGGGAAAGGATGGGCAGGATTTCACAAGGGCAGGCAAACCCTTCCAGCAGTATATTTGCTATTCCCTGTTCCACCGGAGGTCAGAGGGTGGAGTGCCACTCCACTCAAGAGCAGTGGGACACCACAGCTGCTGCACTCTCACCCCCAGACCCACGTGCTCAGCGTGTGGCCTGTGCTGCAGCCTGGCAGGTGCTTACCTGAGATCACCTCCTTGGGAAAGCGGGAGGCAATGACCTTGCTGTCGGTCAGTGGTGTGAGGATGGCAGCCGTGTTCCCCAGCATGCTGCCAATGCCCAGCATCAGCAGCATGAAGAAGTAGAGCACAGAGTACAGCTGGGGCACCTCCATGTTTTTGATCGCTTCCGAATAGACTATAAATGCCAGTCCCGTGCCCTGGACAGCCTGACAGAGACAAGGGGAGGAAACTGAGCTACAGGCAGCTGCTCAGCTCGCTGAAGGACATATGACAAAAGAGAGTGACCCTGTGTCATGGCAAGGTACACCTGAGGTGTGGCTTGCACAGCAAAGGCAGGTGAGGTCTTCACCGGTTTATCCCACATGCATAGACACTGGATGCTAATGACTCAGGTGAGCCCCTGCCCCACCCTGAGGGGTAGAAATGATCCCCAGCCCTGGGCAGGCAGCTCCTGGGCTCACATGGGGTGTCTGAGCTTATTGGGAGCAAAGGAGACACCACAAAGTGGCAACTCACCGTGTCTAGCTCAGCTTCCAAGCTGCAGTTTTTAATCTGTGGTGCTAATTGGGCATACTCCTGTGGGTAGGTGGTCATGAGGTAATCTTTCATCTCATTGAGGTTGTCTGCTGTTAAAGAGCCTTCCTCCAGGTCAAAAGCATTCAGCAGCAGCAGGATCACCCTAGGAAGGATTAGAGGAATTTAATGGCTTTCAGGCCCAGGACACCTCAATCCCTTTTCTCCATCAGCTCTGTGGGGATGCTTTGCTGGCTCCAGGGCTTCAGTCTCCTTGAGTGAGGGCAGCACAGAGCTGGGACACGGGCAACCTTGTGCTCATCTGTGCCTTGGAGGGAGCAGTTCCTGCACCCACACTGCTACTCCCAGGCAGGTATTTTGGGTGCTGGCCAGTGCTGGCTGGTGTCTCTTCCCCTTTGCCCTGCGGTCTCACGTCCACACCCCACCAACTTTAAAGTCTTTTGGCAGCAAGCAAGGACTAGCAGCTTGGTTTCCTCTCTGATCAGCAGATAGATTGAAAGCTCTAAAAATATGAGCAAATGTGTAACTGCTGTGGGCCCTGCGCCAGGGACTGCACGCAAGCTTGCAGCTACAGGACACAATCCTGCAGGCTGCTGGGCACCTGCAGAGCAGCACAGCCAAGGAGGCTGAGCTCTGGAACTTAAGGACTTAGCCTTAAAAAGGGGATCTGAGCATCACTGCATTAATTAATCAGCTCCCCCACACTCCCTGGAGCAAGAACACAGGGAAAAGTGCCTCTGTGACTTGCCCAGGCAAGCTCATCCTCTTGACCAGGCCTATGCCTGGAAGCAGCACCCGGGTGTCAAAAGGCAAAGCGCTCTGACCTTTCATCTCAGGCTTCATTGCTTTGAATAGCTCCTTTAGCTTTATTAGAGCAGTATCAGCTCTGGTCTTGGGGTAGTGCTGGCAGTGCTGCGTGCTGTTATTTATTTACCTCCCCCCTCATCTGCCCAGAACCACTTGCAGCAGAAAAACAGCGAAACAGTGGGCTCTTACTTGTTGATACAGCTCTCGTAGTTAAAGGTCGCCTTGAAGCCGTAGATGGAGAAAGTGACAATGCTGGCAAATATGGAGGTGGTGCTGTTGATGAGGGACACGATGATGGCGTGTCTCTGGCAGTTGTTGCTGGGCTCGTTGTAGCTGGCAAAGGCGATGAGGCTGCCGAAACCAAGGCCCAGCGAGAAGAAGATCTGCGTGGCAGCGCTGATCCAGGTCTTGGGGTTTGACAGCTGCTCCAGCTGCAAAAGCGAGATCAGAGAGCAAGACCATGAAGTTCCACAAAATGTCCAGCACTGCCCCTTCCGGCCTGCAGGAATGGGGACAAGGGCAGGGATGGGGCCCTTTGTGCATTCATTGCAGGTCAGGGGTGGTTTTGGGCAGGGTTACTGCTCTGACTGAAAGTAATAGGTTATGCTAATGGGAAAGTCTTTTTCTGCAGGAAAAAGCAAGCAGCTTATGGGCACCATGGCAGCCTCCAGCCACTGCCAGCTGAGGTTTCCAGCTGCCAGTGGCTACTGCTGCAAAAATTCAGGATAAAAAAAGGAGGACCAAGACCTTTTAAAAACTTACATGCTCATTAACTGATAATGTTTCCTGAAAAATTTAATACCATTTTTCTGTACCTTTGGTGTGAACATGTAGACAAGCCCATTCACAGCTCCATGAAGTGTTAATCCTCTGATGAGATATATGATGAGAACACAGTATGGCAAAGAGGCTGTCACATAGACAACCTGGGGAAAGAGGGTAAAGACTTTGGTCTAAAGAATACGTAAAACAAAGCTAATCTGCTATGCCAGTCTCACTTCACACAAATAATTTCCATTATTTTGTTTGTTATCCTGTACTTAAAGAAATATTATCAGACAAATCTAACTTTATATTTACATTTTAGGGAAACAAATTTTTAATAATACTGAAGACCTGTGCTACTGTTCCAAGCATCTTCTCTTTGACTGGAAATCAAACAAAAATCTAAAATATTTGCAGCATTCACAAACTCAGTTCTGCATCATTTGGTAGAGTAACACCAGTTCACAACTATCTACCAAAAACTCGTCAGGCCAAGATCATTCATCATTTGCTGTACAAGGAAGGCAAGCAGAGCTAATAAAAGGTCAAAATCAAACTTGAATTTTATCAAATGGAATCAAAATTTAATTGAATCAGTTGCAGCAAGTTTAAGAGGTTATTACTAGTTTACAGTCTCTTGGCTTTCTGTATTTGGCTAAGATGATTTGGGGATTACAGCCCTCAGTTTGCTGCTTAGTGCAGGCTCAGCCAGGACATTGGGGTTTTTCTCCCCGCTTCCTCATAACTTCTGCTGTGAATAAAAGGCAAGCAAAAAATGCCCAGTAGATGTCTTGTTTTTCTTACTAAGACCAGGGAATAGACATCTCCTGACACGGCTCTGCTGGGGCAGACAGCTTTCCTCATGGCCAGCAGCCTGACAACTTTTGCAGAGAGCTGGCTGTGTGAGAAGAGGACTTCCCCGGATTATGATCATTTTTTCAGTATCACTCAGTGTTTTGATGGCTCCTGCTCCAGCTGCAACTCGACAGGGCAGTAGGGGCAGCGGAGCTCGGTGCTGCGGGGAAGATGCGGTGAGCCCAAGGAAGAGCAGCCATCCATTCCTCCCTGCCCGTCCGGGCTGGGCAGGGCTGTGCCCCGCTCTCACCTTGCCGGTGGAGGCGGTGCCGCGGAGGATGCAGAGGTAAACCACGAGCCAGGCCAGCGTCAGGCACAGCGCCTGCTCCCACTGCACGCTCCCGCTGGCCTCCAGCGACGGAGAGATGTTCAGGGTCTGCCGGTACCAGAAGTACTGCGTGGACGATGTCTTCTCGCACTCCTCCACGTAGCCCGTGCGGTTGCTGTTGAGGGGGCAGGTGGCCCATGGCAGGGGGTCCTGGCAGGAAGGGGCATGCGGTGAGTGCGGAGCGGCAGGGCAGGGAGAGCCGGGCTGACAGCGGGCAGCAGGGAGGATGGTGCCAAGGGCGGCTTTCTGCCCGGGCTTGCCCCTCTCTGCACGCTGCTGCCCAGGGCTGGGGAGGACCCTCTCCCCTGGGGATGATCTCTTTTGACACCGTCCCTTGGGAATGACCCTCTCCCCGAGGACTGATACTTTCTCATCCTTTCCCCTGGGGATGATAATTTCTGAACCCCCTACCCAAGGACAGATCAGCTCTGTCCCGATTCCTTGGGGGTGACCAGACTGAGCCTCTTGAACCCTCTCCCCTGGGGATGACACTCTCCAAGCCTCTACCATGGGCCCAAGCCTCTGCCCTGCCATCAGACAGGTCCATCCCAGGATGCAGGACACCCTGGCACCAAGGTACATGTGACCAAAGCGTCACAAGCCTGGCCTTGACCTGAATCCCATGGTGAGGAAAAGATAACGGCCAATGATTCTGGGAAGACCATGGAGGAGGACACGACTGCCTCACTTTTCCCTCCAGCAAAGCCCTGGGTTTCTGGAGCATTTGACTCTCCTCCACCTCCCCACTCCCAGCTGACAATGGTGCCATGCAACATGCAGCACCTATGCAATGACCCTCTGCAGCCACAGTGCGGCCAAACTGGGCCCTTGGGAGCCCACACACCTGGAAGGAGTGGAAGAGGTACCAGAAGGCCCAGGCATTTATCACATTGTAGTACATGGAGAGGAAGAAGGAGACGACAACACTGGCAACTCCTGTGGGTATGGAGGGAGACACTTGGTCAGCTGAAAACCCCAAAATTCCCAGGGCTCCATAACATCTGTGGGGTGTGAGAGCAACACCACCATGGCTGACAGAGGAGAGGCTTTGCTCCTGCACAGCCAAGCACACAGGGCGTGTCCCTGTCACTGTAGTCATTGCCTCCTCCTCCTGCCAGGACTGTCCTGAACTGGATTTGATGCTCTGGGCCCTGGGGAATGAATATTCAATGTATCATTAAAAATAAAATGTGTGCTTATGCAAATTAATGATAGCTTGGGTTTTCAGAGTAATTTAATAACAAAAATGTAGCTAAGAATGGACACTGGTAGGTGGTAGGAAATTAAGGCACCATTTTAGCACTCATGTTGAGCTTATTGGGAAGGTGCTGTCAGGGTCAAAGCCCAGTGTAGGCAGCCTCAAGGGCTGGGTTTAGCACTGGCCTTCACACCATGACTTTGGCAGTCTTCCTCTGAGTCCAGATCAAACATTGCAAGCTGGGGTCTGGTCGCAGTGGCCAACAAGGGACAGGGTAAATGCATCAGCCTGGTGAGACTCAGTAAAACCTGAGCTTCCACCTGGCTCTTCTCTCAAAGACAAAGCTCTCCAATCTAAAATCACCCATGTTCCCTGCATGCTGGAAAAAAAAGACGGAAACTGAAAACATACCAACACCACAGAGGTAGGGGCTTATTATTTTCCAGGCACCGATGCTGCCCTGCCGCATTCGCTGCCCCACAGCCAACTCCAAGTACAGCAGCGGCATCCCCTCAGCAATCAGCATGATAAGGTATGGGATCAAAAAGCCACCTGTGAGAACAAACCCAACAGTCAGCCTTCAGCAGAGCAGCAGCAAGATGAACACCACATTGCCCTATTTGTGTTCAAATCATGCTGTCAGTGTCCCAGAGACAGGCTGGGTCTGGGTTCTGGTCCTGTCCAGGTACCTTGAATGCTGAGGGCACAGCCCAATCCTGAAGTACATCTCACAGAGGTTTCAGGCAGCGTCCCAGAGGCTGATGGGCACTGCCTGCCCAGGCAAAGGGAATTTTCCGCAGGGACTTGGCAGGGCTGGGATTTCTGCTGTTAAACTGTGTTGGTCGGCACTGCCCAGATACATCCAGGAGGTTTGAGCAATGCTGGGGGCTGGGGCTGTTAAAGGGTAACCAACCACCCGCCAAACCTTGTAAACGATAATGAGATGAAGAGGACAAGGGAAAGATTTACTTCCCTGTGGGGTGTTCTGCCCTACAGCCAAAGTGCTCAAAGAGAAGGTAACAGCAACGTCAGTGTCAAACAGACTTCTGTTTCAATATGTAACAGAGTTACATATTGAAGTCTGGCCTTGCTTAAAAATAAAAAGTAAACAATCAAAAAACCAAACTAAAAAGCTCCCAAATCCCTATGTTGGGCCCACAAGCCCCAGGAAATGAATGAAGGCTTTTCCCCCAGAACCCCACTTGTAGGAGCAGAGCCTGGGACAGAGGTGTAGAGACTCTTCCTGCATGGGGCTGCTCATCTCTGCTTCCCTCCACATGGAGAGCCACAGAGATGCTCCTGTGGAAGATGAACAGCAGGAATGCGGAGGTTGACAGTGAGGAGAGGAAAAGGACATTCCCACCCAGCAACCAGGATATGCTTTGGCTTAAATTTCTGCTGGAAAAAAAATAAAATCCTTGTATTCGACCTGGGGCTCACTTCAGAAAGAGCGGCTGACTGAGTTAAAAGCTGGATTTTTGTGAAGGCTTCCCTGATTCCCTTTTTACAGCAAGCCAAAATATTTACGTAAATATATCTTATTTAGGATTTAATCTGTGGCATTAACATTCCTTGCAATGGGCTCTGTGCAGCGCCGTGGAGGAATGAACTCTGTGCAGCAACTGAAGCAAAGATCTGGAAATAAACACAGAGCAATAATCCGGTTTATTCTGGGAATTAATTTCCCACCTCCCAGCTCTCTTGTTATTAACAACCCCTTTGTTAGTCTGTTAGATAACTTCCTATGCTGCAAGGGAGCTGTTGGAGGTTTAAGAGCTCCTGCAGCCGCTCTGTGCCGGTGGGGTGCGAGCTGCCCCAGCAGCCACTGAGGGAGTTCTGCCATGTACCACAGCGGAATCAGCATTAGGCCCTTGCAAAGGTTTTCCACCCTCCCAGCAGCGCTGCCACATGTTTGGCACTGACTGTGCCACCTGGCAAGGAGAAGAAATGCCTGAAGGCATTGCTTCACCCCAGTGTCCCCCCGCAGCTGGGAGTGCCAGGGCTAAGCCTCTGCCCCTTGCTCTGCATCCTGTTTGCACACAGATCTTGCTCTTAGTGCTACTCTTCCCAAAGAGTGGAACCAAAATGTCTCACACAAGTGACTTCTGGCAGCCGATGAAACAGCTCCCTATCAGCTGTGGATCAGCAGAGCTTTACTATGGGCGTTGCTCCCCACGGTGTCGCTGTCTGCAGACACCAGCCCCCAGGCCGGAGACCTGCAGCTGGCAAAACGTGTCCTGGATGGAGGAGCGTGCTCTGGCTCTGCTCAAGGCACCGAGCTGGCTCCTGCCCGGCGCTCAGGGCTTCCTCGCCCCGCTGCAGGCCCAGCCCAGCCCCGTTCGAGCCTGGCCCAGCCTGCTCAGGGACAGAGGAACTGCACCCACGAGGTTTGAATCCCCCCTGCACTCAGGTCACGCTCTCCTCAGGAAAGCAGGAGAGGGAGGAGAAGGAGGCAAACTGCTGATGAACAGAATGACAGGTTACAAAGTCTGCAAATACTCAGGTTACAAATACTCACTGTCATTTGCGATAAGGGCCCTATTGCCCTGCTGTGCCTACAGGGACTGGCTCTGTGCTTTACTACAAGGAAGATGCCAAACAAACTGATATCCCCCCTAATCCCAATGCCTGGCATATCCAGCTTTTAAATTCCTGAAATGATGTTCTGTATGCATGGGTTTTGTGAACCCCTGTAAAGCCACAGAATCCTCTTTAAGAAGACAGTGAATAAAACAATTAAGAAAAGCAAAACTTCCTGTCAGGAGTTTTAATTTCACAGTAGAAAGAGCTGCCTTTCCTCACATAAGTGGTGAGAAGAAAAATAATGGAAAGACATCCTTATAAAACATGTTTTTCAGAAAATACTTGGGTGTATCACAGAATCATAGAATAGTTTGAGCTGGAAGGCACCTTTTAAAGATCATCTAGTCCAAAGCCCCTGCAATGAGCAGAGAATATTATTTAATCTTTTATTCAGGTTAACCAAATGCTCCAGTTTTGGTTACATTTCAGAGAATTTTCACCATCTACTACAATACAGATGGCTGGTTAAAAGAATGACACAAAGCCCCCAAAATGTCCAAGTTTCACTGTCCTTCAGGATATCTGCCATGGTGGCTGCTAGTGAGCTGATCACGCGCAGTTTGACTGTGTACAGAAACGCATTTTAGTCTGTGCTAGAGTTTGGTGTCAGACATGAAGTCTTTATCCTTAAAGCATGTGTAGGGGAATACACACAAAATTAATCTGAACTGTCTAAGCATCAGACACTGCAGCATCTATCTTCTACTGACACTTCACCCACCATATTATCTGGATTTTTCTGACCTGGTCCCACAGGATAGCTCTGATGCAGTCTCAGTGCCAAGATGGCTTTTCAAACAGCAGCATGAACCAGCTCCTACCACCACAAGTGCATTCAGAAGTAAGCTACAAGCTAACAAAACAAGCATAAAAGCAAAAAAAGCTGTTTAACATCTCAGTATTTCTTCCTGAAAGGAAGAAAAGGCAGGAGACCAGAAGCAGATGAGGCAGATGTTCACCATGTCCCTTAATGCAAGATTGAGACAGGTCCCGAACTATTAAAACAGATGAAGTATGAGAAGCAGTAAAACACTTGGTTTTCTTACAGAGAGCCTGTAAAACACAGTGGTAGCTGAACACTAGAGGAGATCATTAATACTGGTCCTTAATTAATCTAATTAACTGCCTTTTGATTTCTAAGGAAGAACGGCTGTGGCTTGTATATGCCACAAACATCGTCTTCCTTCAGTTTGAACCAGGAGGAGGATAAACTTTCAAAGAGGATTTCAAAAGTGGGGTCTTTTTGGTTGGTTTATTTATTTTTGAAGGACAAATCAATTTATTCCTCATTTTCAAAAGTTCCTGGGAGGCTTTAGCTGTGGAACTCCTCTTGATTAAGGCATTTCAGCCAACTTCAAGGCAGATGTGCAGCCAAGTTACCATCTCATGAAGTAAGGCTTTGTATAAAAGACAAGATATTAATGAAAGGTACTTTCAAATTTCAAAGGTACTTTCAAAGGTAATATCAAATAATGCAGATGATCATTAAGTTAAATCAGCGCAATCATCTCCTCTTCTCGTTATTTTCCAAGTCCCCACAAGTGAATGTTCAAGAACATGAACCAGTTTCTGACACCTTCAGAGTGATTCAGTGGGGCAAAAATACAATAAATTAATACTATGTGTATCTGTATCTCCCACTCTACCTCCATTTTTTTAGAAAACATGAGCCTTCCCAGTGTTTCACTGCACTTACAGAAAGCAAATGCCACTATATTGGGGCAGCTGTCAGGTAAGAACCTAATGCTAAAGAATACATAAAGTAAAGCCACAATAAAACAGATTGTACACCAACAGAAAGCCAGACCTCCTACTCTGTCCTGAACCTTGCTGGGTGGACAGAGCATTAACATGGACAATATACTTTTGGACTTAAAGCTTGCCCCCCTCCTCCTCGAGGGAAGCAAGAAAATGTAAACCACACTTACCTCCTCCGTACATCTGACATAAGTATGGAAACCTCCACACATTTCCTAGCCCCACAGCATAGGAAATGCAGGCAAAAACAAACTGTAGGGGATTGTCCCATAAGGGTCGGGATTTCTCCATTGCCATCTTGCAGGCAGAGGTTTCAGCAGAGCCTCCTGCCTTCACTCCCTCAGGTATTCTGCCAACCGTGCCTCACACTCCACGCCAGTCCGGCTTGGAGGGGAGGGAAAGGCGGAGGAGCTACGCTTGCCAATTCCCTATCAAGCCTTTTAATTACTAATCTTATTAACAGGCACATACTGAAATAGGAATGCTGGTAAATAGATTATAGACACACACACACAGAACTATAAAATTGGTACTTTGGGTGAATAGCTGCTTGGGTTTTGACTGGCATTTCTGGGAAGGATGTGAGCTGACGGATTTTTATTGACTTACATGCCAACTCGAAGCTGTGAGGAAATAACACTGGGGCTGCCGTTTGGTTTTCAAAATGGGACACTCCTTCCCCACAGGGCTCCCTTCCTACTGAGTGGCATTCATGTGCATGAGGGCACCAGCTTGAATTTCATTGCACAGAAGATGGGTTCCCACACCATTAGGACTGGGTTTAGAGACTATCAGTGCTTTTAGGGTAAGAATAAACAGAATCCTCAGACATCCATCACTGTGCCCTGGCGCTCACCTCAATCAACTCAGCACGCTCCCCACTTCCAAAAGCAGCTTTGAAACTCTCCTATCAGCCACACAGGTCCCCAGCCTGGTGCACGCTTGCCACACTCAAGTTTGACCCTCCCAGAATACTGCCTTCCCTCTACATACTCTGCATGCGTGTGCCAGTGTGAAACAGCCAGTCTCTTTTCACTTACCTTCATGCTCAAACCCTACTGCTGCAGGTGAACTTTTCTGAGGGATTGCCATTTTAAAATACTTTCAAGCAGCAGGGACTAAATACAAAGGCCAGAGGAAAAAGGTGTCTGTGACCATTGTGGAGGCAGAAGGATCTAGGGGGCCTTTGGATTGTCTGAAGGCACACTGAGGTGCCAGGTCTGAACATGAACCCTGTGTGTTTGGGCCCCTGCCAAGATACACTTTGAGCTCAACCACTTTGGATACGTCTCCCAGTGAATGAGGCTGCCAGCAGCATCTGCAGCAATAAAAAGTAGCTGAGCAACTCCAGGGACTCAGCTTCTTTCCTCTATTTAAACGTTTTTTTTTTCCAGGGCACCTTTCAGGACCATTTTACAAGTAAAGCTCTCTCAGTTGCTGTCAATCTTATTCCTCCAGTGCCAGGAATTTGATCCCTGCCCGTGCTGTGTGTGCTGCTCCAGCATCCCATTGGGCACTGACTGAGCCAAGGCCTCCAGCTGTGGGTGTGGGTGAGAACCCCAACCCTGGGGCCTTTGGCCAGGAGCCCAAGCTGCAGAGTGTGTTGTGCAGTGCTGCTGAGCCCAGCAGCAGTACTCTGGTGGATCTGCTGACCAGACACCTGTATTACCAAAGCCACAAAGTGGGACACCACTTTTCTGTCTGCTAAAAAAGGTGATGGCAAGAGGTTTACACATTTCACATATGTGCATCCATTCTTTGGGGTGTGTTTTAGTGGTGCTAGAGATGGAAGTTGTTGGAAAACATCAGGGGGTGCTAAAGTTGCCTGTAGTACAGTTTTGAGGGAGTCAGTGTCTTTTTTTGCAGTATCCGTGCAGTTCTTGCCTTGCCTGCAGAACTGCAACATGCCAGCTAGCCCTGACAGTATGTCTCATGGGTATAACCTGCTGGAAGGAATAATCCAAGGTAATTTTAAATACATAAGATGTTAAACTGAAAGACACATACAGAGAATATGAGTTGCCCCACATCATGAAAATTTTTACAAATTATTAAAAAGTCAAATGCCTGTCCCTGGCAGTGAGTTTTTTTATAAATTATGTGTATAAATAGCTTACAGTATTAAACAGTTTGCTTTTAAGGACAGCCTTGAAAAAATAGCACATCAATACCACTTGGGATGCTTCTGTGTGAATAGATTACTCCTACTGATGAGCATCATCAAGTTAAAGATTTCCTTGGCTCTGTACCTCCTTCCCATTACATTTCAAACTAGTTTACTAATGGACTGGAGGAGATCATGCAGGCAGAGAGGTGTGATGTCCTCATCTCGGGTCAGGCGAGATCAGGAAGTTCAGGTGGAATGAGATGAATCCCTGCCTCTCTCACAAATGTCAGTCTCATCAGTAGCTCGGATCACAGACTAGTGTGAGTTTTTTTAAAGGTGTTCATGCACATAGGCACCCAGCAAAGTGCCTTTCATCTAGTGGCTTCTTGGGACACACACTTTAAATATATTTAAATATGTATTCAAACAGACAACACTTAGGAATTCTTGCTGTGGGACTTTTCTATACACACCTCAGATTATCAATATGCTATTTCTGATGCTGTTCATGATTTTTATCTCCTTTGAACTGCTTTCATTTGGGTTAGGGAAGGGCTTGGGATTTATCTTTAAGGACAAAGATAAGCCTCTAATAGACATATGCAAGAAATTTTAATCATCTCACTGCTCATATTAAAGAAGGATCAGAAAGAATTTTTTCTTCCAGTACCTAACAAATCTGAGATGTGGGGTTTGGCAGAGTGGTTGAGAAGGGCAGGGGTTCATCTGAACAGCAGATCAGGGACTGATGAGACTGCCCAGGAGAACTGCCCTATGCAATCCTAATCAGAAGCTGATAAACAAAGCAAAGAATCACATTTCTCACTGAAGCAAAACCTCAAGTACTTAGGTGAAGGTATAAACTGAAAGCACTGGTCTTGTGTCTCTTGATGCCAGTACAGTAAAAAGCCAAACGCCTCTCCCAGCTACCTAAAATGCAGACAAAAAGGGACTCTGGAGTCCTAGCAACAAGTTAGGGGCCATGATTTCAGGGTGTGAGAGAAGCTTACACTTTGATTGGCAAAAGTTTGGAGACAAGGGAAGAAATTCTACTTTGAATTTGTTTGATTGGCAAAAGTCATGGAAACAAGGGAAGAAATTCTACCAGGTAGCCTGGACTTTCATTGTGCTACTTCCAACAGGTATCACTATACAGCTTAGACCTAAAAATAAACCCCCTGGGCTTTCCTTGATGAGCCAGACACTCAGGAGAAGAACAATGTGTCAGGAGCTCTGGTGTTTAGTATCTCCAATTCCTGGAGGCACTCACTTCCAAATGCAAACACTGCTAGTGTGTCAGACGACTATCAAAGCAAAGCCATAGAGCCTCTACAGCCTCTGCATGTATTTACTGATGCCGTCAAGGGAAGCAGATATGCTGACAAGGGAGTAGTAGCTTCCACATATGGGTTTTCTGTTGGGATTCACTGTTCATAGTTGCTACCCTAAGATGCCTGTTTCCTAACCTTAAGAGAAAGAAAGAATCCATCTGGATTTCCAGATTTTTGACAACTCATAGGCCATGACAAGTGTTGGGAAATTGTTCTATGTGTAATTGGAGATTACAGTTACTCCTCTAAGCTGTTACTAGGATTACAATTATTCCTTCCATTTTAACACTACTTCTTGCTGCTCAGTTCCAACTGTTGATGATATCCTTAAGTTCTGTACCCTGAAGTAATTTTCAGCCTCTTAATCACCCTTAAAACTGTTTCACTTTATCTCAACCTCCCAAGGAAAGCATGCCTGAAAACAGTCTATTTATTTTCCTTGCTTTTCTTTAGCATCACAGATCTATTAATCTTCTGACTGTGATTTTTTAGGGTACTCAATCCATGAAGCTGCAATCAATGAAGTTTGGATTTGCAGAATTGCACCTAATTCACCCAGACTTCAAAACTGACCTGTGTCAAATGAGTGTCAGAAACAGGCATGTTACTGAAAGACAGCTGGATTACTCAGTTAGTTCTGCTTGTCACCTGCCAGTTCCCACTTTCTCTGTCAAAGCTGGCCTGCAGTCAGGGGAGGTCTCCAGGCAGCTCTCTTATTCACCAGCAGCTGTCAGTCGTGAGCTGCCCTGCCACAGCCCTGCACCAACCACTCTGCATCACCATGACTTACCACAGACACTCCAAGGCACTACATCAACAAGTTCCTAAAAATAATAATTAAAAAATAATTAACAAACAAAAGCTTCTGTTGAAACAGAATGACATGTACCTACCCACCTTTATTTGGAGAAGAGCTGACTCCAAAGAAGGTGCCTAATGAGTCAGGATACGTCCAAGAGGAGACCCTTCTAAGGAGAGCATATCTAGATGTCTTCAGGGAGAGTCTGTAGGCAGCCAGAGCAGGGCAAGAATTCTGGGACAACACTTTTCCTGGGACGTTGTCAAAATTAACAATCATAGCGTAACTCCCTATGCACATTCTCTGCTCTCAAAGTCAGTTAAAAAATAACTATGGTAGCAATCATAATAACAACCCTTACCTGCTCATATACAAACTTACCTTCAAATTACTTCAAAATGTTTTAGAAGGCACATCCTTCTAGACCAGATCAAACCATCTAAGCTTGATCCATTCAGCTGATACCTCAACATGATTCACATTTGCTTCCTGAGGCAGTAAAGATTTCACTGTGGTTTCACAGCATTTCATATTACACAGAAGTCAAGACCTGTCCTTGATAATGCCAGAAAAGGGAGATCAGACTAAGGAATCTTACAAACATTTTGGCTGGACTGAAATCTAAGTTCCAGGAAGATGACTGTGTTTCCCAAAAACAAGGTATGTGGGAAATGTCCAAATTTCAGCTGTTTTAAATACTAGTCTATCAAACAAGAAGGTGCACTTGCAGGTTAAGTGTCAATGTATGTATTAGTATTCACTTTAGGACATTTTAAAAATGGATATTAGCCACAAGAGAAAAACAGGTTAATGAGTACTTCATGAACAGTTAAAGATCATTGATTAATATATGGTCTCATTAAGATGGCAACATGCAGGACTACTGGCTCATTTATTAACAATTCTGAAGTCACTGCTGGAACACAGAGCTGTTGGCTGTCAGAGTCAGTACAAGCAAAGCTGAGATGCCTAGATCTCATTCCTATATTCTTCAGTCTGCAAGAAAAACTAAACCAAAACCAAAACCCAAACCCAAACCATCCTGAAAGAGATACGATTTCTGCAGACTAGCCAGTTACACAGAAATTTTCTTTTTAAACATTCCCTTCAGGCATAACTAGGGAATTAACAACTGAAGTAGAAGTAATGGATGATGTCTATTTGAGCAGTACAAGGAACAAAGGTTGCTAAAACCAGTATTAGAATTTGCACCTTGGGGAAAAAAATGAACTTTTAATTATGTATTTTTCATCAAGAGCTCCACACAAGACTTTTAATTAGCCATTCTGCAGCACAAAAAGCAAGCATCACAGTGATCTCACACTCGCTAAACTGCCAACCTGCAAGGCATGAAATCAGAAAGTCTGAGTTGCAATTTTGCAATGCACAGCTCTTTACAAGAATTGCCTTACTCATTTGAGGAGAGGTGTGCACCAATGCTTGCCTACAGCCAACTTACTTCACTGAGACCTAGCCATATACTGAAGCTGACAGTGCACTTTCTTGCTGAGATTTCTAAGCAGATAATGAAGGCTGATCACAGAGCCAATATTCTAGAGTCAAAGACTGATGAGAAAAGACGACCAGCAGGAGTCATGAGACACTCTGGCTTTCTTCACCCTTTACCTGCCATTCTAGAAATAGTAATTGATCTCATTAAAGTGAGTTTTATTATGAAGGTAAAACCCACAACATTCATCCAGACAAGTACTCATGCAAACACAGTCCAGAAAGCTCTTTGGTACATGCCTATTAAGAACTTAACATTTTAGTGACTGTACAAGGGGAAAAATAATACCTTTCATTATCTTAACTGTTACTGCATGAGGAGGATGCCACTCTACAACACTCTATTGTTGTGCTACAGCAATAATACCCTGCCACAGGCACGGGGCTTTATCTCAAACCAACCTCACTTAACCAGTGGGAGGCAAAAGACAGGAGAACTTACAGAAAACATGAGAAATTAAACTTAGAGAAAAAATAAGAACTTAAGACTACAAGTATATGGCAGATTTGAGTTAATAAATTTTAACAGCTTTGCTTATTAAAAAAATAATGAGGAAAAAAGATCCATTTCAGTTCAAGCAGCTCCTGAGGAAAACATTGTTAAATGCCAGTTTCTGTAACACAAACACCCTGTCTTCTCCTCTGCCCTGTCACTGGTACTCTCTTTTACAGCTGTTTGATGTGAAGTGGCTTTGAGCATGAATTTACATGTTCTCAGTTCTAGCAAGATTCTTTACTGATCTGCCACCCATTCCTACAGATGTTTTTAAAATAGCTATACAAAACATTCCCATTAAAAAACTCAGCTCCTTAAAGATTAAATGCTTGAAAACATAGTATTTTATTTGAAGTAAAATACAAGATACATATGAACAAGGACAAATGAACAAGTAGAATGCACTATTAGGCGACTGACAAACAAATGCAAGGCAAAGAATTACAAGGAGAAGACTTGAGAGAAGTAAGCTGTTTTCTGGTGAGGCTACATTAAGAAAGGAGATGAAAACCTCTAAAATAACTTATTTCCCATTAAGTTGCTCCACTAACTTTCCAATGCATATTTAGATTACCACTGCAATATTAAGAATACTGGCAAAATCAGAATCTCTGTCTTCTGATGTTCAAATTTGCTTTAAATCAATTCAAGTGAAAAAGCAAAACTTCATTTGAAACGGTCCAGCACTTTGGCTATAAAGCATATTTATCTCATAATCTAATGAACACCCTCTAGAAAAGTGTGACTGATCACACTTTGCTGAGCTATGACATGTCCAGTGTGAAGTAACATTACAGAATCAGTGTTTGTTTTTATTCCTCTGACTCTATCACTGATGCAGTTTTTACATATAATGCTACTTCATAACTACATTAACTACACAAAAATAACAACTGGAGTTTCCACCTTGAAGACATCAAAAACTCTAATGCATATATTTTTTGTCTTTTTTCTCCCCTTTTTTAATAAAAATAAACTCCCATTTTTGTAGGGAATGTTCTCAGTTCTTCAACAAGGTCCTATTTGCTATTTCTCAAGGAATGTCAATTAAAAACACCACTGCAGAAACTAATACCTGTAAACTGTAAGTTTACAAGGAAATAAGGTAAGAGTTTCAGTGTGAAATTAATATTAATAAGGAGTTATTTTGAACATTAGAAGCAAAGAATACACCATTCAAAACAAAAATTATTGAAAAATAATACCAGTCTACATTTTCTCTCCATGACAACTTCTGATAGATCAGATGCTTTTTGGTATTTCAGTCCTCTGACTCATATCTGAAGATTAAAAAAGAATAAATAGAAAAATAATTAAAACAGATTAGAAAATACCCCAAAGACATTTTGTCTCTAATGAAAATATGAAACCAAAGCAATAAATTACACCCAACACTGACACATTTCTGTCAAAGTTTACTGTATGACTTAAGCCACAGACAAATGCATTTAGTTTTTAGACTATTTTCACCTTTTAAAACTGGCTAGTTTACCAAACAGTAGAATGAAGGAATGACCTACCAACAAATCCAAACATTTACCAAAGCACCTGGAACATCTCCCATCTGTATCTCTGTGTGTAGCTCCTGAGGCCTTCTCTACCACAGCCATGAATAAATAGCCTGTATCTTCTCCATAATAAATTCCCATTACTTGCTACATGGCAGCTGCTGTTGCACACACCAGCCCTAACCACACTATCCATTCAAAGGACTGAATGTCAAAAATCAGGGCATGGCCTATTAGAAGTTCTCTCCAAGGGAAAATGTACAGACTGTTTTACAGACAAAATGGGAGCAGAACATGGATGCAGAACAAGGATCTTGTTGACCCAGACAGGGCAGCACCACCTACTTGGAAAGTCTTCTACGCAGATCCCTGATCTGTTCATTCTTCTTGGTGAGGATGTCTTTCATGTTGCGATAGGCAGCTGTTTGCTGAAATTTCTTCTCCAGTTCCTACATAATAACATCAACATATTATTTACATACTATGAAGACTAGACAAAAATATTAAAAAACAAAAAAGCCTACTTCCCCTCTTCAAGTTTGACAATAGTAGTTTTCTGTAATGTACTCAAATTTAGATAAAGTCAACTGGTAGATTCAAATGAGATTACTGGGGCAGCCATAGAAACACCAATTTCATTTTCTAACAAAATCAGACTAAAAGTCTTCAGAAGACTGGGAATAGGCTTTGCATTAAAAAAAATCTATCCAGACAAATAGTCAATTATTTAATATTCATCTAGTTATAACCATGCAGTTAGTTGTGTGTTTGCTATTTTATGCATAATGTGTTTTTCCACTGAAATAACAAAAATACAAGAGCAAAAGTGTGGCCTGGTAAACTCTGCATCCTGTAGCTTGTGCTTGTTAAATTAATCAGTTAAAATGGGAGTAAGGAACTAATCTTCACATAAAAATAAAATACTAACCTTTTCAGCTGTGGATAGCTGATCTTGAACCTTCAATAAGTCATGTTTTGTTGTCATCAAGTCTTCTTCTAAGAACTTTTGGTTTGCAGTTCTGTCATTCAAAGTCTTCTCAAACTGGGATTTCAAAGCTGCCACTTTATTTTCCAGTTCAGTGATATCCTGGTTTGCATTATTCTTCAACAGAAGAAATATTTTAAATATGTCAAATTCAAGAGAATAAATAATTAAAATTTTAAGTGCAAAATCCCACATAAACTAGGTATGTCTTCATTTCTAATAATGATGTACAAGCTGCTCCTGTAAAGCCTAGATCAGAAGTGCTTCAACTAAAAAAAAAAAAAAAAAGAGCAGGGACTAATTTATAACTTCAAAAAACTGTTAACAAATGCTTTCTAAAGATGGCTGGAATGTCTTCTCAGCTGAGATTTTAAGTTCTTGTTCTAATTCTTAAGTACTTCATTTCTTTAGGAATTAATTAGAGCCAGAGGATGTATCAAATCACAAGATGTTATTTACCATACAGAAACAGTACATTACCATTTAAGATCTGAATGTCTACGCTACAATGTGTTTTTGAAACATTTCCAAAGCTGTTAGTGTAGGATATGTAGGAAAGGCTGAAAGTGTTAAGGCTCACACTCTCAGCCAATGCAACCAACATTGCACCGTTCTCAGACGTCTTACACAAAGAGGCTCCAAGTTGCAAAGCAACTTTTCTGTTTCCTTATGAGAAGAAACAACTCAAATTTTCAGAACATCAGTTCTGGGTCACAAAACATTATAATCATGTAACTGTTCTATGGATTTTCACTTAAATAAAATAAAAAAAACCAAACACAAATTATTCTTAGGTTTTAAAGCTCAATTTCAAACTCAAAAGTGTAATAACTCAGGATGAGGCTGAACCAGAAGCACAAAACAACAAAAAAAAACCAAACCAAAAAACCAACAAAATCTAAAATCTATGAAAGCCCTGCTACTCTCTCTGTCTGAAACTTAAGACTTGAGAATAGGAAACTACTTGATAGTAGTACCCATACAGAAGAAAAGCTTATTTTTTATTTCTGAGACAGAGTCCAAGCCTGTGGTGTTGAAAAGCATTACATACATTTTGTATGTTTTAGTTGCTACTTTCTAACCATGACATAATTAGGCAAAAATTCTAAATCCTTAAATTAAACTGATCCAACAAAGCAGTTACTTCCAGTTACTGCTGGGAATTACTCCCAGTTACAGTTACTGTGACTCACACTTTCTATGTGGAGCCATCTATTAACTATGAATTAAAAAAAAAAATCAATCTCATGAGTTGGTCCTTAAGAATCAATTGTGGTTTGGCAGTCATTTATTTGTTCAAAGAGTTTGAAATCTACTGCTTTACGAGCAACTGGGAGAAAGTGACAGATTACAGAGAGCAAATTAGGACATGAAAGCTGAAGATACTCAGCAGCCCTGACACTGAGGCCAATTCATGTTTATCCAGAAAAGCAGAATGAGATTTGGTTCCAGTCTTTTAACACTACAAACAGTATTAGCCACGATTTAATACACTGCTTTAATATTTTAAACCTGCAATAATTTGAAGTTTAACAAAACAGAGAAAGAAAATATTTTCCATGACTGATTAATCAAGTTCCCTATTAAAAATATTATTGAACACAATTTTGAAAGTTACTAAGTAAACTTTTTACATATTAAGAAAACCAAGTACATACCATAAACCAGGTAGAAAGCAAAATAAAAAGAAATCAGGATTAAAATATAAAAATTAAAAGAGAAGTGTTTTATA